TGCCTAGAACCTTTTCTCCAATTTTTCCTTGTAAAGGTTTCATTCCTTTCTGGCCTGGTCAGTCATGGAACCCAGTCACTTGACAAAGTATTCAATCCAGCAGTGAGAACATCCAAACAATTATAGTTCTTCCCTGGAATTAATATATGGAAGGTGAGGTTGCCAAGCTAAGAAGACGTCAAGCAACCAGAGGGGAGAGGGAAGGGAACTTAAGGGGAAAAAGGGGGAGGGATTTTGAGGAACCAGTATGAAAGACACAGAGATGAGGGGGGGGGGATGGGGGGGATGGGAGGGAGGGGGGAGACCGGGCGGGGGTGGGGTGGGATGGGAGAAATAGATAAAAAAAAATGTACTTGAAAAGTAACTAAATAAAATTTAATATTAAAAAAAAAAGAAGACGTCAAGTTGGTGCTGTTGGCAGCTATTTTTCCTACCACCTGGGAGAAACCGTGTCTTCAGTTAAAGAGAATAAAGCCGAGTGGAGATGGGAGGTGGAGGGAGAGACCTGGCTGAAGCAGGAAGGCCCTGGCTCCTAGAGTTCTCCATTTAGTACCCCGCTGTCTTTTCTGTCACAGTGAGGGAATAAACTTAAATTTACTTAAGCTAGATTTAATTGTGTTTTTAAAACTTGCAACCAGAAAAGTCCAAACTAATTCATTTCCTGTAAGACATTTGTCAACCACCAGTGAAGACCACCCTTTGTAGATATAGTTAAAAGACTCAGCTCCCAATAATGACATAAAGCAATGAAAGCGAGGCAATGTACATATTGTGTCCAGTCTGGCAGAATAATTTGTACATTTGGCATTTTAATTTATTTCGAAAACCAGTTAATAGTTGAAGAATCCAAGCGCATTATAATCAATAATGTAGATATTTCCCAAAGTGTAGTCTAACATATGTGTAGCTAATGTGAGGGTGTGCCAGCCTAACATACAAAAGGGTAGCATCAGAAAGTGAGAAAAAGGTAAGAACTTAGCCATGCATTAGTCATGATTTCTTAGGAATTACACAAAATGGAGAAAAGAAGATTTGAGAGATAGAAGGATGAATGGCTACCACAGTTCTGTACGTTTTAAAATTTTTTTGTAAACCCCATCCATTAGAATGCTTGTAGTTGTCTACAGTTTCATTGTTTTTAAAGAAAAAATGTTTGCAGGGCTGGTGTAGCTCAGTGGATTGAGTGCTGGCCTGTGAACCAAAGGGTTGCTGGTTCGATTCCCAGTCAGGGCACATGCTTGGGCCAGGTCCCCAGTAGGGGGTGCATGAGAGGCAACCATGCATTGATGTTTCTCTCCCTCCCTTTCTCCTTCCCATCCCTTCTCTCTAAAAATAAATAAATAAAATCTTTAAAAAAAACAACTGTTAACAGATGAACAGAAAAGCTCTGGGGCATAACATGGTTACCTTAGTGTTTTTAATAGTGTTAACATTCTATTTTGATTGAATACACAATATATAACTCTGCTGATGAGGGCTGGAAGGGGGTGGACTAATCATAAAAAGGCCTGAATTTATTATATCATTGTTAAATAAATAGTATAATTTTGACAGAATCTTAGCCCAACATTTTCTCTTGCAGGTGTTTTTTACTTTTTTAAAGATTTTATTTATTTATTTATTTTAGAGAGAGGGGAGGAGAGGGAGAAAGAGAAGGAGAGGAACATCAATGCGTGGTTGCCTCTCACGCACCCCCCACTGGGGACTGGGCCTGCAACCCAGGCACGTGCCCGACTGGGAATCAAATGGGTGATCCTTTGGTTTGCAGGCTGGCACACAATCCACTGAGCCACACAAGCCAGGGCTTGTAGGCATTTTTTTAAAAAAAAAAAACATTTACTTTTAAAATATTAACATTTCTGTCAGAGGAAAAATGAAATGCAAATAAAATGTCTTAGTATTTTATAGTATTTTAATCTTACTAAAGTATATATTCATCATGATAGCTGTATATTTTCTATTTAATATAGTAATATAAAATCTAGATTACAGACATGAAAATATTCTTATGACAAAACAGTTTTGCAAGAAAAGTGATTTTATTAGGGTAAACAATAAGGCTGTTAATGTCATGCATTAATATTTTATTTTAAATAATTGTGTGATTATCCTTTTAGTGACATATGGATTCTCTAACACTTTTGTTTTATAACCTCATTCTTAAAAATTCCAGTGGCTTGTTTTCTTGTATTTTCCTTAATTGTGGTGATCTCAAACCGATCTCCAGTTTTAAAGCTGCTAGTTGTTCTAATACAGATGCGTAAATATATTTTCTCCAGTTGGCTATTTATTACAAAGACAGCTTGTCTGTGGGTACCATCAGGACATCTGTGTTTTATTGGATTTAATTTTTAGTAATAAAGACCTCCCACATTATAGATTCTTTCCAGCCTAAATTAGCCTGTGTGGGAAGCAGAACAGCCATCGGTCAGAGAGAAAAAGCGAATCCATATGGCACTGATGATTCTGTTTAACTGGCTACAAGAAGAAAGGTTTGAGGCTAGAAGAATGGTTTGAGCATAGACGGTGCCCCCAGCAGATCCCTGTTTCTTTCTCAAAAGCTTGCCAGAACAGGGTTGGTGTCCGGCGCAACCCAGTACTTTTGAGCCAGCCTAGTTCATCCACGTTCAGCCGTAGATGCTTATTCACATTTTAAGGGCACATTCTCCTTTGCTTTGCATCTTGCTCTTGCCTGAATGCCCAGTCCCTTGTCATTGTCTTGCACTTTGGAACTCACCTCTGCCCTTTGGTCTTGATAGGTTTTGGTTTCCCTAGTCCATTTCTAAGTACTTTTTTAGGACTTTGGTTCAGGCTCTACAATATGAAGAAATCTAAAAAATCCTGCATGCACGCACAAGTGGTCAAAATATTTTATCTTCAGCTTTTTAATGATTACCAACAAAGGCTGGTGACAGAACTTGAATAGCAGATGGATCTTCAGTTTTACAGGTTATACATAATTCTCCACTGTGCCCAGAACAGACAGGAACTGAAAGCTTTTCTCTCTTATTTTAAAAATATTTTATTTATTTATTTTCAGAGATAGGAGAAGAGAGGGAGAAAGGGAGGGAGAAAAACGTTAACGTGCAAGAGAAACATCAATAGGTTGCTTCTCAAACGTCCCCACCTGGGGACCTGGCCTGCAACCCAGGCATGTGCCCTGGCTGGTGATCATACCAGCGACCTTACAGTTTGCAGGCTGGCACTCAATCCACTGAGCCACACCAACCAGGGCTAAAAGCTTTTCTTTCAATTGACAGTGAAATACCTGAAGCATTTAATTTCTCTTGATCATTATCACGCATAGGATGAGGAAGAGGAAATTGGGCATAGCTTACTCTTTACTATCAGTGTTACCTTACTCAGCACGAACAAGAAAAACCTCTTATTTCAGCATCTCGTAAACTCTGAATCTCAACCAGTGAGAAGACTCTGCTTCTTAAAACAGTGGTGTGTTTATGTTCATATAAGTTTTGGGGTAAATTTAAATTTAGTTCAACCAGTTTCCTAGTTGTAGAGGGTGATGCAAATAGTAATAAGACATTAAAAAATTTATCTAGTGTAGTGCATAGAAGTCCTCCCACCCCCTACAAAAAAAGGTATGTTCAAGTTTTTAACCCCTGGTACCTGTGAATGTGACCTTATTGGCAAATAGTTTTTGCACATGAAATAAATTTAAGATGGGGTCATACTGTATTAGGGTGTACCCTAGTTCATTGACTGGTACCCTTATGAGAAAAGGAAAATTTGGACACAGACACACAGAATACCATGTGAGGAAGGAGACAGAGATTTGAGTGAAATGCCTAAAGCCAACAAAGGCTAAAAACTTTTGGCAATCCCCAGATGCTACAATGGAGCAGGGAAGGATTCTTCCCTACAGCTTTGAGAGAAAGCATGGCCCTGTAGACATCTTGACTTTGGACTTCTTCTAGCCTCCAGAACTGAGACACAAGACATTTCTGTTTGTGGCAATGTAGTATGAAACTAACACTAGTGAACTAGGCAGAAATATAAACAATAAACTATAATAGAGGTTTGGAGAGTTATGGAAATGTACAGAAAGGACATATACTCCCTAAATGTTATGTCAGGGACAGTAATTCTTAAAACACTGTTTCCTTTGCAAAAACTTGGTACACTATCTTTTTTATCTACTGTGTGATTTAAAATGAGTCGCTTCACCTCTTTGAACCTGTTTCTCATTAGTGAGAGAGGGTCCATCAGATGATATCTGAAGTCTGTTTCACTTATATCTTACGCCTCTAAATCATATCCTGGTTTTTATTTAACTGTATATTTATAACTTAAGAAGTTATTAGTTTAAAGGGATAAAAAGTAACTTATGAGACTTGGTGTCTTCTCTTTCTGCCCCTCTCCAAAAGGGGAGAAGTGTGTGAAACAAGATTCTATATTTTCCAAGATGAGCTTCATTTGGAGTGTATAGAGTTTAAGGGCAAAATATCTTTCAGCTTAGGTGCTGCTCAAGTCCCCTTCCCTGGGCAAACATGTTTGAATCAAGGAATAAACAATAATGTCTGCCCACGGGCTAATCAACCTACCAGTATAGTAGAACGGAGGAAATGAACCTGGATTTGAATCTGAACCTGAGCAGACTCCCTGAGTAGGTTGAAACTCTCTAAGCCTGTTTTCTTATCAGTAAAATGGAGATAACAACATCCTCTTACTTCGGTGTTGAGACGATGAAATGAAGTAGAATGCTGTAAATATTTCTTTGGTACTTGTTATCTATTGTATATACTTAAAAATGTCACGTGCTTACAAGAGTCTCGTTTATAGGAAGGATACTAAAAACTTCTTGGGTTCCCCTGCCCACGCCCTAGATTGGGGAGTGGAGTCACTGAAAAACACTGACCACCAACTCGCCTCCCACCTGCCAGATAGCTGCCGGTAGCCTGGGACTCGCAGGGATCCCGCACCAGGAGGAGGGGGGCGGGGCGGGGGCGGGGCGAGGGGCGGTGCTGGCGGAAGCACTCGTGCAAGGTTGTCAGCTGCGCCGGAAGTTCCTGGTTCCGCCTGGCGGGTAACCTTGGGGTCTTCGCTGCCACGTCTGTAGTGGTAGTGGGCTTTTCGAGTCTGAGTCTCTACTTAGGCCAGGCCTGTTAGCTACCGGGAGCTGCCAGGGTTGCGCGGAAAAACGCTGCGGACCGCTCACAGCAGGAACCACGGGCGCAGGGCCACCCGGCCAACATGTCTCTAGTGGCGGAAGCCTTAGTCTCGCAGATTGCAGGTAACGCGTGTGGCCTCGGACCAAGGGGCTGGCGTGGGACAGTTGCGGGGAGCAGTGTGCGGTTTAGGACTGCAGCTTTCCCCGGCTTTGCGGCATTAGATACGGAAGCCAGGCCTGAGGTTGGAGGCAGGCGCAGGGTACCGGCCTTATATTGCTAATGAGAAAACTGAGGGAGAGGCGGTTGGGTAAGGTCACCCAACAGTGGCAGGAGTCCTGCCTGCTTCCCCTGGGCGGTGCTTTTTCCAGCTCCCCAATAGGTCAGGAGAGGAAAGGGTGTGTGGAAGAGGGTGTGGGTTGCGATCGAGGTGGGGGGTGTGGCCACATGGGCCTGGAGACCCTAGGCTTAAGTGTAAGAGTGGGAGCAACCTTGGTGGTGGCACCTGAAGTTTAAGCTGATTGTCGCCAATGAATCGCTCTTGTGAGCTTTTTGTCATTGAGGGGCCACTGAAGTTCTTGTTTCATCTCCAAGCGACACAATACAGGCATTTGCTATGTCTTTAGGGTTCACTGAAACATCTTTAAATCTACATATATTTTTTAGAAACACCAATTTGATTGGTTGAACCTAGCTGGTGTAAATAGACTTATGTTTTCTGCTATCGAGGTTTTTATTTACTGTAGTGAAAAAAATTAAATATTGTCGATAAAGGAATCTAGACGTATGTACTGTAGGTGTTTATTGATGGATAATAGTTAATCTTTAAATGGAATTAATCTTAACTTCCTAGCAGTATTTTCAGTATGAGCATAGTAAGGAGACAGTCACTAGGGTGAATAGGTACGTAGAAATAAGGTAGTATTTTGGAAGTGGAAAATAGTGAATGTGTCATAAAATTTGCCAAAATGTTTTTCATTGTATTTCTTCCTTTTTCACTTAAAATAAATACCTTGTTTCTTAGGAGAGAGGGAAGCGCTCACTAGATTGCAAGCTCAATGAAAGCAGGGATCATACTTGTTTTGTGCCCTGCTGTATTGTGAGCACCTGTTAGTTGGTACTCAAATATTTATGACCAGAATCAATAAGTAATCTCAAGATTTCAAATGATATTTCTATTTTTACCATTTATGTTAAAAAAGATAGATCATTAATTTAGATTGCTACTGTGTTAAAATATATAAACCATTTCACAGTGTGTGCTGTTATTGGTACACTGTATGCATGTGTTCCAACATGTGCTTTCTTTTAAAGAAAAAGTGATGAACGTCTTTTAGTAAACATTTAAAGCTTGGAATTTATCTTCATTTAGTGAAGCTTAAGAATTTCTAGGAATTTTGATCTGTTACTCTAGAGAAGGCATTTAAAGATGGAAAATTCAGTAAAGGGTGTGGGGACAACTCCTAACACCAAAAGAATGCATTGAAGATCTGAAGGTAAAATAAGAACAAAACCAAATTGTAATAAAATAATTAGGAGATATAGGAGATTATTTTAACAACCTTGGATGGCAGAGGAGGCATAAACAAAATATGGAATCCAGAATTCATGGGAGAAAAAATTGGCAGATTTGATTGGAGAAAAAATTTAAAAGCTTTGTGTGATAAATAAATAGAAAGACACCCAACAGAATCAAGGGTAAAGTATTGGAACAGGCAGTCATAAAAGGGGAAATGCAAGTGAACAATGAACATATGAAAAGATGCTCTTCTCACTAAAAGTAAGAACTATTTTTTCACCTAGTCCTGTGGGCAAAAATGAATATGATAATTTCTAGTACTCACAAAGGGCATGAGGAAAATGGTTACCCTTAAACTATTTTTAAGTCTGTAAATTATGGCTATGTTGGGGAAACTTAATATAGCAATATTTTAACAAGTACAATCCTTTGACCCAGACCTTCTTCAGGGAATTTATCTGATAAACATGTAAGGACCAGTATTTAAAGAAATATACAGAAAAAGAAAAGAAATATAAAATGATATTAATCGTAGAATCATTTGTAATAGCAAAAAACCAGAGATGTTCTAATTATATATCAAGTCCTATGCTCACATTATTAACAGATACTAAAAATGCAGAGGTACACCTGTTAAATATATTGACTTGAAAGTTTTTAAGTAAAAACAAGGTATAGAATATATGTTGTATCAACCCATTATTGTTAAACAAATAACCCCTATGTAAACATGTATATGTTTATGTAAGCAAAAAGACACAAAAAAGAATATTCAACTAACTTTAAGTAGTAATTTAAGGGTAATCAGGGTAGGGCATTGGTGGAGGGTAGAGGAACTACATTTCTGAATTGTTTGAATTGCTATAGTGAGAATATTTTACTTCTGTAATTTAAGCGAGTCTAATTTTAAAGATTTAAAAGATTTTATTTTGGCAATCAGTGGAAAAAGGGCAGATGAAATAATAATTTATATGAAACCCTGCTTTTGACTTGAAGTGACTTTTAAGTGTGACTCAAATCCAGCAACTATTCAGAATATTCTGTTTTTGCCAGTAATATGATTTTGTTGGAAGAAACTCAACCTCAAGAGATTTGAGGTATATACATACATAGTCTTATTTTAACTTAATAAATAATTGTGAGTCTGTTTTTATAGTTGAGAGCTCTAATTTTTAATGTATTTAACACTGCTTATTATTCTTCCTTTCTATGGGCATGAGTTAACACAGTTTGAAACTTCTTTTTTTTCTTTTTAATATATTTTATTGATTATGCCATTACAGTTGTCCCATTCCCCCCCTTCATTCCCCTCCATCCTGCAGGATGTCCCACTCCTCCCCTACCATTCCCCCCCTTTAGTTTATGTCCATGTGTCACAAGTTCTTTGGATTCTATATTTCCCATACTATTCTTGCCCTCCCCCCTATTTTCTATCTACCATCTACGCTACTTATTCTCTGTACCTTCTCCCCCACCCTCCTCCTCCCACTCCCCTGTTGCTAACCCTCCATGTGATCTCCATTGCTGTGGTTCTGCTCCTGATCTAGTTGTCCTTTTAGTTTGCTTTTGTTTTAGGTGTGGTTGTTGATAACTGTGAGTTTGTTGTCCTTTCACTGTTAATATTTTTTATCTTCTTTTTCTTAGATAAGTCCCTTTAACATTTCATATAATAAGGGCTTGGTGATGATGAACTCCTTTAACTTGACCTTATCTGAGAAGCACTTCATCTGCCCTTCCATTCTAAATGAAAGCTTTGCTGGATAGAGTAATCTTGGATGTAGGTCTTTGGATTTCATGACTTAGAATACTTCTTTCCAGCCCCTTCTTGCCTGGAAGGTCTCTTGAGAAATCAGCTGACAGTCTGATGGGAATTCCTTTGTAGGTGACTGTCCCCTTATCTCTTGCTGCTTCTAGGATTCTCTCCTTCATTTTAATCTTGGCTAATGTAATTATGATGTGCCTTGGTGTGTTTCTCCTTGGGTCCACCTACTTTAGGACTCTCTGAACTTCCTGGACTTCCTGGAAGTCTATTTCCTTTGCCAGATTGGGGAAGTTCTTCTTTATTATTTGTTCAAATAAGTTTCCCACTTGTCGCTGTTCTCTTCTCCTTCTGGTACCCGTATAATTCGGATGTTGGAGCGTTTAAAGATGTCTTGGAGGTTCCTAAGCCTCTCCTCATTTTTTTTTGAATTCTTGTTTCTTCATTCTTTTCTGTTTGGTTGTTTCTTTCTTTTTTTCTGGTCTACTCTGTTGTTTTGAGTCTCAGTTTCTTTTCCATCACTATTGGTTTCCTTTGCATTTACCTTCATTTCAATTAGTTTAGCCTTCATTTTTTCATCTAATTTGTGACTAAAATCAACCAGTTCTGTGAGGATGCTGATCACCAGTGTTTTGAACTGCGCATCCGATAGGTTGGCTATATCTTAGTCACTTAGATGTATTGGCTCTGGGGCTTTGAGCTCTTCTGTGTGAGCCATAATGTCTTAGTCTGTTTGTGCCCATTACATATGAGGGGTGGAGCCTTAGGTGTTCACCTAGGTGGCGACCCAGTCTGGTTTGTGACGCTGTATGTGGAGGCGGGGTCTGAGAGGGGCAATGGCGTTTGTTCTGCTCCCTCTCTGATTTCAGTCCCCTCTGCTGCTTCCCACAAGCCAACGGGGCCCTCTTGGTGCTGGCTCCCGGGTGTGTGGGCCTGTACATCCTCCAGGACCCTGTGAGTCTCTCCAACAAACCCTCTGTGAGCCTGGGAGCTTCTCCCGACACCTTGAGCTCGAAAGTTTTTCCAACTGGTGCTTTTAGGCTTTAATTCCAGTTGCTGGGGCCTGGGTTGTGTGGTCTGTCTCTCTGCTCACTCCTTCACCTGGTTTATCTGCGTGTGAATGTGTGACGGTGGTCAGCCAGCCACCTTGCGCCCCCACTGGGTCTGTCCATTTGCCCCCAGTGGGTCTGCCCCCACTGGGTCTGTCCTGCGCCTGGGATCTGACAGCCGCTGCCTACATGCCTGGGTCAGTCTGACCGCTTTTTCCTGCACTACCTTGCCCCACCAGCTACTGACTTCACCCCTCTTACCAGTCTGGCTGAATGGTTTGTTGTTGTTGGACTTCTGTACAGTTCAATTTTCTGTGTTTTGGTTGCGTTTTTAATACTAAAACTTTGTTGTCTTTAAACTTGGTTGTGGGAGGAGGTTGTGTGTTTTTACCTACGCCTCCATCTTGGCTGGACTGAAACTTCTTTTGGAAACATTTAAAGGTGTCTTGCCTTTAAGGCTGTCTGTGACATACTTGAGTCTTATTCATAAGGACACTTTTTTGGAAGGTGCCTCTGAACTCCCCAGATTAAGGGAACTACTTTTGTGTCTGTGCTATTAGTGTGTCCCCCACAAGTTCCCTCAGTCCTTATTTCTTACTGTGACTCAATGGCATATTCCCTCCATCTCCACTGCTTTTCTTGGGATTACTGTGGTAGGCTCCGAATTGGTGTCCCTGCTTCCAGTCTGGTCTTTTTCCAGCAGTCTCCACACTGCAAGCCTCAGCGGGGTTTTGTTTGTGGTGTTTTATTTTTATTTTCCTAAAATGCAAATGTGGCTCCGCTTTTTTTAACACCTTC